TGGCCAGTTTTTGAGTTATGAAATTAGTAAGCCCTCAATAGATCTCTATATGATCTTGACTATTGAGCTACGCGGATTGACTTTGTAATTTGACTTGTAATGATATTGCATCATTGAATGAAGTAACATTCAAGAGTCACGTCATCCAAGAAATGCGAGCTTTAATGAGTTAGTCATTAAGTGTAAGACGAGTAGCCAGTATGAGCAGTGTTTTGCTCTTTACCCAACTATTGGGAGTGGATGGAGCAAAATTTCACGCACTATAATAGTGTGCATTACATTATCACTTGAAGTTAAAAGATTAGTGCTTAGTAGCAGCAAAATCTATTAACACTAAGTGAAAAGATTAGCGCCAAGTGGCTGCAAAATCTATTAGCATTGCCAACTTGTCTAAGTCTGGACACTTACTGTTTCCACACTTGAGTGTGAGACAAGTTGAGGTGCTTCTTTGTATGATTCCTTAGCTAGGCTAACATTTTTTTTTTAATAACGTTTACCACTAAGCGCAAACGTTGCAGCATAGTAATGAAAATGTCAAGGCCGACAATGTTGTTATGACTCTAAGAATTTGACGCATCGCTTGTGAGAGCATTGTGTTGAATAAGACTCTTTATCCTAATTCGCACTTAAGTTACTTCGGGAGCTGTCATAGATTGATAGCTTATTCTCACGTTCTTGTGGATAGTAGAATTAATTACAAGTAACTATGAAGCGAGAAATAAAAATGGCAAAAGGAGTATCGTCATCTTTCAACTAGATGCAGTAAAGTGTATGGAGAATAAAATTGACTTGAAGGTGCAGGGGATTAGCACTTACTAGTTAAATTTGCGACTTAGGCGCACTTGATATCTCCATGACATCCTTTTATGATCTAGTGAATATGAATTAGTTGTGAGTCATTACCTAGTTGGGCCTAAACCTTTAAAACTTGTCTTCGAGAACTCACACATTAGGATGATTGGAATTAGTTTATGACATTGGTCATGAACTGGTGGCTTATTATACTTAATCACATTAATGAGATGATGACAGAATGGTTTGAGTAGGCCCTCTCGGGCCCACTCGCTTGGGACATCCTACTCTTATGTGAATGTATAACTTTATTCGCAATGGTTGCGCACAAGTGAGTAGGAAAGCCATAGAAGGTCATTTGTATTGGCGCATTTAGTCCACTATGATATTTGTGACTGGATATGTGTAAGGGCATGATAGTTAGCCCCAAATCTCGACACATTTATAGATTACGATACGCATCTTAGTCAAGATTATTTGATCTCCCATAAGTCAAAAAGTTTTGAAATGATTTTTGACATTGCACATATGAGGTCGAGATCAATTAAATAAGAGCTTTCGTGCTTTTAGTTTTGACCAAGGTGGCGAGTATCTATTTGAGTTATTTTTTAGAAAGCTCTGTGAAGAGAAATGGATGCTTAGAAAATTGATTATTTCTAGTACTCAGCAACACAAAAGTGTAGTAAAGATAATGAATTAAGTTTTGTTAGGTGGATGATGGCGCAAAATGTTCCCAATTGGGAATTGCACTTTAGTTTGTTGCCTATATCCCTGACTAAATGCCCTCCATATCAGACATTACACTCCATTTGAGTAATGGGTTAGCAGAGAGCCATCTATGGGCGATCTGTAACCGTTACGCAGCTTATCTTTATTTTACTTCTCATAATGTTGCGAAGTTAAGACCTAGGGTTCTATAGCGTATTATTGTATGATGTCTTGTAAACACATAGGGTCATGTGGCACATTATTATATGCTGTCATGTAAACCCTTCGGGTCATATGCATATAGGTAAGTAGCTTTGTGGGAGTGTAACTAAGTCACATAAAGTTTTCTTAGTAAAGGTGACGTGAATAGAGTTTTGAAACTCTATAAGATAGAGAATTCTAAGCATAGCGCTTTATGTAGCCTAGTTGAGAATGGATAGAAATTTCCAATATCCTAGGGACAGTAGGAGCGATGTGCCTACTAATGAATTACTCTATTAGAGAAGAATACTCTGCATTGTTAGTTGCATGGTAGCGAATGCGAAAATTTTTCACGTCATCACTAGGTGATTGAGAAGGAAACATTCATGATTGCTCCGCAAGATGATAAAGAGCCTAGGATAATTCCAAAGGCTCTAGTCCCCTGTTTTTAGAAAGTGGATCAATGTTGCGCAGTTTAAGACAAAGTCTTTGAGGATTAACCATTTCTATGATTTGGTTGACTTTCCATTATGACGCAAAACTGTTCTAAAGTTATGCGTGATTTGGATAGTCATTGTTGAGGCATAAAGCTCGCTAGATACCGAAAAGTCGCACCATTGAAAAAAGTGTAGACCATGAGAAGGCTTTCTCTTGGGGAGTGAGGTTATTTCAACTTAGGCTATGATTGACATAAGTTCGGAGCATTGATTTGTGGACGTTGTGACCCAACTTCTCGTTGGAGAATTGGATAAGTAGATCTGTAGGGATTTACCTTCTGTTTTTATGGTGAAAAGTTAGGAATGCAAAAAAGGTTGCTAGTTCCAATAAATCTTTTACAGCCTAAAACAGTTATCCAAATAGTGGTTCTTAGATTTCGTCAAGCCATGATAGGCCAACGATGATCGATGAAGACCACTGAGGCATGATCAATGGTCCAAAAGAAGTTTTTCCTTATTTAGTCATTATGAGCCAGGAATTTATAAGGTTGTCGCCACGTAGGGTGGGCTCTGTTTTAGATATGATGGACATGGGTGATATAATTTATATGCTCGGATGTATGATCCTTAGGGATTGTTTTGGGACAATTCACGGTTTGTCTTTGATGACTTACATAAGGAATATCCTAGAATGATTTTAGATGCAAAATTGCAATTCCATTGACTTACCTATCGGTAAAAGGCATAGCCTTAGCTATTAAGTGAATCCTCGGATTATTTTTGGGAGAAACAGATGACCTATATTCCTTGATCTTTTCTTTGTTGTGGGAGCCTAAAGTACGCTATGTGGGCATATTCGGCATGATAAGTGTTATCTTTGGTAAATGGTCAACTGAGTTGTTTAGACATTGACCTTGCTTATTAGATTGTGGATAGAATGCTTTACTAAGTAATATATTAATTTGCTCCTTGTACGATTCAATGAGCTAGTTGGGTGCATCTTGAATGAACACAGATTGGTCACCAAAATATCTTTAGAGTGGTTATTGCGCAAGAGGTAGTGATTTTGAATCATTTCATGTGAGGCGCACATGGTGGATTCCGTTGTATATGCTTATCGCAAGAGGTGCTGATAAGGCTTATGCTTGGAATCTAGAATTGCGCAAACTGTGGTCGTGTTTTTAAAAAATCGATCACTTATTTGTTATGAGATGATGAGATGTTGACACTATTATGGTTTGTGTCATAATGATTAGCAGATGGTGATGTCAGTAGGCAAGATTGACTCACTCACACGAACAATCGCCCTTGGTGCTTGGGATCGAGCAAGGATGAGACTAGTGGTTTATTTTTTATTTGGAGCCAAGAGAGGCTTAAATTATCCACTATGTATGTCGCCTTGGTTACAACCAAGATGAGGTCGTGTTAAGAACCAAACATGGATGTTAATACCTACTTTCCATGTTGTGTCTGTTATGATTAGCCAGATGCAAGATCTCATTTGGCGCCTAGAAGGCGAGCAAATAAAGAATTCGGGTTAGGTGCTAGAAAGCGACTAGACTAATATCTGTACGGTGTATCGATGATGACGTCATTCTTTTGGAAGAGTTACTCCACTGTGACATGTATTCATACTATATGTGCTTGGCGACTGAGTAATAAGGTGAGAGAATGAATCCCTGTTTCCTCACCGTGTGAGTCTTACGTGTCATTATTGATATGACTTTCATTTATGTACCCTTTTGTGACTTTTGACTATGTCATAAGGTAAGGGGTTGATATTTTGCTACTTTGGTATGTTGCATGCGGTCATGTATGATTCGACCTTAAGGGACATCACTGGGAAATCGGTCAATCCTAAACTAAATGGCATGAGGGCAAAGGAAAGATCATCTAATATTACACCACTGTTGTATATTCATTGTCGGCAACTCACATCGCTCTGTATGAGAAACGGATTAAGTGTGAATATATTGCAAGAATTGAGAGGGTCAAACATGCTCTTTTTGAGGGATTAGAGATGCTTTTTAGACCGGCGCAATTAGATGGGTCTGGGGTATATGAGACATTATTTCTATTTTTTGGGTTAATGTCTCTATGCTGGCTCATTTTGAGTTTCTAGTATAGAGCTCCCACATGCAGGTGTTTCTCAGCGGTCGCACGGTTCATTGGCTAGTATGTGATTGTTTAATTTTTGGGGAGATTGAGATAGAAATGTGGCAATGTCATGCCAACTCATGTGCGAGTGGGAGATGTTAGAAATTGGGCGCCCATGTGGCATGACCCTTTGAACCTGAATTTTTTGAACCTTATCCATGTAAGTTTGAATTTGAATTCAAAACTTATTTGGATAACCATTCAGGATATCTATATCTATCATATCAATAGATATGGATAGATGGATAGATAGATTATATGGTCATATACCTGATTATATATTTTAGATAATATATTGATATATCAGATACGTATATCAGATACGTTATGTGGTTTTTACCCATAACTTTTTTTCCCAGACCCTTTATCTAACTTTCTCCCATATGAGAACGATCCAGCCTCTGCACTATGACTTGTGTGGGTGATACTCATATTGTAGTATCACTCCACTGCTGGGAGTTCGTTGTTCGCATTCTTGAAGCACGTGATTTACCCACCAGATTCTTCGCTTCAGGTTCTATCATAAAAGTATGATCTGATTTTTTTTACCCGCTGCATTATAGTTTGATTTACAAAATTCCTTCCTAAAGTCTGAAAACTAACAAATATTCCTGAGTCTAGCTACAGCACTCTCACGTAGCCACCCATTTCCATATTCCTCTGTTATAACTACATCTTCCGATTCTTTTTGTTGCTCCCATCTTCTTACCACCTTGCAAATGATGGTCTTCTATTCACCGAACCCGCATCATTCTTTTTGCCTTGTATATTTTGGTTACTTATATTCTGTACCTCACCTTTCTGATCTCTTTTAAATGCAGCACTCTTAACTACCAGAGATGTGTTATCACACCAAACTGCATTTGCCTTCTGTATAGCCATATTTGCTGCGATATGACAATTGTAACAGACGAAACCAAATCTTGATCTTATTGTTTTTCTTCTCTTAAGTGAGATGAACACATCTTTGACCACACCGAACTTTGTGAACATGTTATAAAGACCTTTTGGATCCATAGACTCGGGAAGATTGTCCACAAATAATGTATGAATGCTCGTATTTCCCATACTCCATTGCTTCTTCCGAAAAACAGGTATCTATCCTCCATATTCTCTATTGTTGTTCCTTGACACTTTGTTGCTCCTTGCTTCTCTGCTCATTGCTCCATTTTCCCACTTATATTTCCGTAGAAGTCAAACTCTGGTAGATAGTCGTCTCTTATCATCCTCTTTTTGGCAAATGGTAATTGTAATGTCGTGTAAATAAACCCGATCATTGCAGTAGCAACCACATACCTGCAAACAACACAAACAAATCATCTTATACAAATTAAAAAATTGTCTAATTACAAATATACTTCTTGATATTTGTTTAAAATATTAATGGTCTCTTGTGATTATAAAAATTATATCATACTCTAGTAAATTTCTAATTGCATAACAAAGAATTCCTTTTATTAATAAATTATTAAGTTAATTAATAATTTTTTATGATGTCAGAAATATATTGCAATTAATAATTCATATAAATTTATTGTTATATAAGAGAGTAGTTAGGAATTTTATTTGTTAAATAAATTTTTTTTGGTAATGGAGTATTTGGAATTTTCAGATTCACAAGGGGTTATTCGTATATATTTGTAATTTTCTTTTTTAAAAAAAAGAAGAAATGTAGAAATTTTTTTGGGTGTAAATTAGGCTGTTCTCGTTAAGTTTCATGCCCCCCCCCCCCTACCCAAAAATGAAAAACCCTAGTTTGTTTCACATTTTTGGTCCTTAATGTCTGTAATTTTTTAGAATTTATTCTCAAACTAACTCCCATCTAATTTTGAACGAAAAAGTGCCACATAGCAAAATGGATAAATTACACACCATTTGAGTTTCATAATTTCTCACTTTGCCTCTAATGCTGTGTTTGGTTGGGGGATTTAAGGAGGGATTTGGAAAGAGAAATGGAAAAGGTAGGTGAAATGTGAATAAAACATGCCTATATTTCACCTAGTTTCACACACCTTTTCCTTTTCCCTTTCCAAATCCCTTCCCAAATCCCCCAACCAAACACAGCATAAATGTTTGCAATTTTTCCTAATTTACTCCCAACATTAATTTTTGTAAACTTTTTACCCAATTTCAAGACCCAAAACTCAAAATCCACACTCAAATTCTAACCCCTATATCTTTCTTCTCTTAAAATTTAACCCCAAAATTCTATTGGTTCTTCAGACTCCCCCTTACCACACCACATCTCTACCTCCATCACCCCTCTTTGTTTTCTTCTTTCATCATCCTACCTTATACCACGACCAACGTTCATACCAATGTTTTAAAAATCGGACCGGTGAATGAACCGAAAAAATGATCGGGTGGACGGGTCACCGGTTCAACCGTCGGGTTGAACCGGAATCGAATCGTGACGTCATAAATATATTAAAATTATATTTAAATAAAAATATAAGTAATAAAATTATAAATTAAAAATAAATTAAAAATATTAAATTATCTTAAATATTTGTCCTAATATTTTTTTTACTGAAAAATATAATAATATATTTTAAAATATTATTAATTTCAATTTTGGAAGATGAAATCAAATATTTAATATTCCCTCCATATGATTTTAATTCAAATAATTTGATTGAAAGGAAAGCAAAAATTTTGGAGGGATATCAAAATTTCAATATTCCCTCCAATACATTTGATTGAATCCCACATGGATTTCTTGAGTTTTTTTGAAAGAGTTTTTTTCTTATAAATAGGTGAAGACTTTCACAATAATTTCATCAAACTCTTAATGGGATTCCTCATAAGAGGAGACCCTTGAAAAAGAGTTTCAAATTAAAATTTTCTTATATTCTTATATTATATATATATATATATATAAAATAAGAAAGAAAGAGAAAAGAAAGAAAGAAAGAAAATAAAAAAACAAGGGAAAAAAAAGGGCCGGACCGGTTCGATCAACCCGTGACCGGTTCACCGGTTTAACCGGTGGGTTCATCGGTTTTCAAAAAATAGTCCGGTTTTTTCAATTGGCCGGTTTAAGAGGGTTGACTAGACCGGAACCCCATCCGGTCACCGGTTGAACCGGCCGGTCCGGTCTGATTTTTAAAACCATGGTTCATACACATCCAAACACCTCTCTACTTGATTTAGTTTTTATAATTTGCTTTTTGAGATTTCTATTTACTATAGATTTCCTCTTCACGTTTGAAAAATTACATTCATCTCCCTGAGCTTTTTAATCTCATTACAAATTACCACCTAGATTGCTGATGTCATATGTTAAATTTTTTTAAATGACCATCTTACCTTTTTTTTATGACTTTTTTGTATAAAATTTTATATATGAATATAATGTTTCATTTTTATTTCCCCATTATATCTAGATTATATCAATTTAATCTAAATATATTTAAAAAGTATAAATTTTGTACAAAAAACTTTAAAAAAATTCATCGAATATAACAAAATAAGATAATGTATTGAATTTTTATATTTTTTTTAATTTTTTTTGTATTTGGGGAATTAAAAAAAATCACAAAATATTATACTTTTTAAGTATATCTAGATTAGGTATATCTAAAAAATAAAATAAAATATTTAAAAATATTAGAAAAAATTTAGTAAAAATAAAAAAAAAACACAAAAAATAAAAAAATTCAAATTTTTTTGTGAGTTAAACCGAAGAAAATGATTGTTATTTCCCTCGAAATGACATAAATCAAATGTATGTATTATTTTATTATTTTATATGAATAAATGCTAAGGGGTAAATATGTCATTTTAATCTTACAGGAGGGTAAGTGTAATTTTTCAAATATGACGGGGGATCTGTATTAAATAGAAACCTCGGGGGGTGTTAGTGTAATTTACCCAAAAATGAAAAACCCTAATTATTTTCATATGATTTTCTCTTCATGGGGCATAAGGGGTAAATATGTCACACAGGAGGGTAAGTGTAATTTTTCAAATATGAAGGGGGATCTGTATTAAATAGAAACCTCGGGGGGTGTTAGTGTAATTTACCCAAAAATGAAAAACCCTAATTATTTTCATATGATTTTCTCTTCATGGGGCAAAAATATATATTTTTGGTATTATTTTTAATTATTCAAAAAATAAAAAATAAAATTAAACAAGTTATGAGACACTTGGTTTTGGTTTCCATAAATTCACTTTTAAAAAAATTCTACTTTTTTGTTTTTCATATATTTTTTGTTTTCATTGAATTTTTTTAATATTTTAAGATTTTTTTTTTTAATGTTTAGACACACCTAACATATATACACTTAAAAAGTATAAGTTTTGTGGAAAAAAACTCTTTAAAAAATTCACAAAATATCAAAAATACAAAAAAAGGAGAAAAATTTAGTATATTTTTCATATTTTTGTGTATTTGTTATTTTTTAAAAATATTTTTTCACAAATATTTTACTGTTTAGATACATCTACGTAAGGTGTATCAAAAAAAAGTAAAACAATTGCTTAAAATTTTTAAAATATTCACTAAAAATAAAAAAACTCAATTTTCAAAGAATTGAATTCAGAAAATTAAGACTAAACACACTGAACACTTTCCCATCTCGACCACCTCTCATACCTATTACATAAAAATACTTTCTCTTAGTTCTAGACAATGTCAAAATCACAGGACCGGTCATCACAACCACACCAATCGTGGTTCTGGAGCTCATCACCCCCCCTAGCTATCTGACAGAACTAGATACAAAACTGAACCCAGAACAAAAACAGCTTCATTGTGCATATTAAGCTGTGACAACCCCGATCCGTAATTAACTATTAATCTATAATTAAGCATGTTAAGCAAGTACTTAAATGAAATTATGCGTTACGTCTATGACTTGCATTGATTGTGTATTTATGTGCCAATTGACGATTGAATTGTGTTATTATAAACAGATATGGTTAGGATATGAATTGAACTTGTCTAAATTAGTAATTTATATGCATTAAAATTAAATGTTTGGATCGGTAATTAGAGCCTAATCCATATTGGTATAATTAAGTTTAGTTCAGTTGAGCTTAAATTAGGTTAAAATTAAGTGAATTTGATCCCATTTAATTTAATCTTATGATTTCTTTTTTTTGAACTGGAATTTAACCTTATCATTAAACCTTATAATTAATCAAGCTTAGGAAATCAGAGATTAAGTACATTGCTTAATCACTCATCAACTTAATAAAAGAAAGCGAGGAGTAAGAGAGAGAGTTAGTGCATATTGTTGGAGTCAAACATTTGAGAGAAAGAGAGAAAGCTCTAGAGAGCTGAAGAAGAGAAAGGAAAGAAGAGGAAGAAGGAGAACTAAGCAAAGTCTTCACAATTCAACCAACTAAGGTAAGAATTCTCCTCTAATTTCATGAAATTGAGATGTTATATTTATAATCCTTTGGAATTTGAGTTGAATTAGGATGAAATCATGTATAATTGAGAAGTTTTATAGCGAATGAAGATATAATGACCCTTTATGATCATTTAAGGCAAGAGTTCAAGTAGTGAGCTCATAATCTTCACATGCATGGCATGTTTTCATGGAAATCTTCTTCATATGTTTACCTTCTTGCATGGTTCTTGAGAATTGAGGAGGGAACTTCATGAATTTTGAGAAATTGGAACTCACATGTGCATATTTTATGAATTTACACTTCACTTCAAGAATTTGATCTTTTGCATGGAAATTGAGTTTTCATTGGAATTTCATTTGTCATTATGGATTGTGGATAGTATACATGGTAAGTACGTATCAATTAATAATTTAAAGAAAGCCAAACTCAAGATCTCAACAATAGACATAATAGTAGTGTCAATCAAATGTAGCCCCGGGCTTTAACAAGTATACTTTATTATGGCTTAAAATTGTTAATAGCATATTTAACATTTCACTAATAAAATCTTCACTTCAACTTTAATCCTTACAAAGGAAATTCAAAGTAATCCACTTATTGATGCTCTTATATTTAACTCCATTCATTGCCGAGAATACATAGTTGAATCACGGGATTATTTAAATGGTCAGAACTCGTGTACCTCAAGTCAACGATTCAACTCT